ACTTGTGGGGTACATCCAGGCACGTCTGGGGCGGCGAGCGAGGGGGGGAAGTGAGAAGGAGAAGGCCTTCTCAGAAGGCTCGGAAGTCTCCCAGCCTCCTGAGATGTTTTCTAAGCCTTCCCCGAAGACAACAAACAAATCTCAGAAGGCGCTAGGGCTTCTGAGAAGCCCCGTCGCCTTCTGAGAAGGCCTTCTCCTCCTCAGTTCCCCCCCTCGCCCGCCGCCGACAATCTGGGCAAATCCAGGTACATCCCGAGATCTCCAAGGAAATGCCGAGCAAAGCGTGGCCGCTCCCGGCGCGAGCCGAGGGACGGCCCAGGCTGTCAAGCCCCTCACGGCCGAGCTGGGCGGGGCGGGGCGCAGCGGCGGGGGCGGGGCGGCGTGAGTTGGCGCGCCCTCCCTGGGGAGTCTGGGCGCTGCTGCTCAGGAGGGGAGAAAACACACAGGCAGGATGCATCGTCGATCCCCAGGAGAATATTCATGGCGCCAGCCAACATCGCAGGGCGGATTGCTTTCGGAAAACGATAGGATGGTAGTGGCCCAGAGAATTTCGTTCCGAATTCCGAGGTGAATTTCGTGTGGGTTTTTTGGGGCCAGGAATGAAGTCTTAAACAAATCAACGCGAAATTCGCTTCGTTTTTCACTCGCCATGTCGGGGTTTTGCATAGGCAGAAATCCACGCACAAATCCGCTGCAGCACGTCAGCAAGATCGGCGCAGTGAGAATATTGGAAAATACAGGAAGTGGGGAGGGAAGTGGAAGATCCAGAGATGTTTTGAAAATATGGGGAATCCCACGAGCTGCTTCTATGTATTTGTGTGTCCCAGGGCCCCTTCAGCTGAGTTCTCCCACGGTGTGCCTTCGCCAGACTTCGGGCCCTGGGGCCCGCACAGATCGATCCAGTTCGAAGAATGCAGCTGGGAGCCCAGGGATGCAGTCGTGATTCCCAGACCCCCTCGCGTTGTGCAACAATCGCGGCGGGAGGTTTTTCGTGTTTTTTTCGGCCTCCGGGGGTCGTTACCGGGCCTCGGGACCGTCAAAAAACGATTCTGGATTATCCCGGCAAAGCAACCTAACAGCGATGTGTAGGAGCATATCCGGAAGCATTCCCCTTAAGATTCAGATGATAATCCAGTTGTAGAATTATGCTGTTCTCGCAGTCGTAGTCGCATTCGCGATGACAGTCGCAGTGGCAACGGCAGTCGCAGTCACAGCCTCAGCCTCAGCCTGCCTCAGCCTCAGCCTCAGCCTGCCTCAGCCTCAGCCTGCCTCAGCCTCAGCCTCAGCCTGCTTCAGCCTCAGCCTCAGTCTGCCTTCAGCCTCGGCCTCAGCCTCAGCCTGCCTCAGCCTCAGCCTGCATCAGCCTCAGCCTCAGCCTGCCTCAGCATCAGCCTGCCTCAGCCTCAGCCTCAGCCTCAGCCTGCTGCCTCAGCCAGCCTCAGCCTCAGTCTGCCTTCAGCCTCGGCCTCAGCCTCAGCCTGCCTCAGCCTCAGCCTGCATCAGCCTCAGCCTCAGCCTCAGCCTGCCTCAGCCTCAGCCTGCCTCAGCCTCAGCCTCAGCCTGCCTCAGCCTCAGCCTCAGCCTGCTTCAGCCTCAGCCTCAGTCTGCCTTCAGCCTCGGCCTCAGCCTCAGCCTGCCTCAGCCTCAGCCTGCATCAGCCTCAGCCTCAGCCTCAGCCTGCCTCAGCATCAGCCTGCCTCAGCATCAGCCTGCCTCAGCCTCAGCCTCAGCCTCAGCCTCAGCCTCAGCCTCAGCCTCAGCCTCAGCCTCAGCCTCAGCCTGCTTCAGCCTCAGCCTCAGTCTGCCTTCAGCCTCGGCCTCAGCCTCAGCCTGCCTCAGCCTCAGCCTGCATCAGCCTCAGCCTCAGCCTCAGCCTGCCTCAGCATCAGCCTGCCTTAGCCTCAGCCTCAGCCTGCCTCAGCCTCAGCCTCAACCTGTTTCAGCCTCAGCCTCAGTCTGCCGTCGGCCTCAGCCTCAGCCAGCCTCAGCCTCAGCACGCAGCCTCAGCCTCAGAGCACGAAGTGGCCTACAGTTGGCTCCGGGCATCCAAAATGTGGCCCCGGAATGGAGTTCTGGGAACTCGAAAACCACGAAGTGGCCTACAGTTGGCTCCGGGCATCCAAAATGTGGCCCGGGAATGGAGTTCTGGAAACTCGAAGACCACGAAGTGGCCTACAGTTGGCTCCGGGCATCCAAAATGTGGCCCGGGAATGGAGTTCTGGGAACTCGAAGACCACGAAGTGGCCTACAGTTGGCTCCGGGCATCCAAAATGTACGCCGGGGAATGGAGTTCTAGCAGCGCCAAGAGCGATTTTGCGAGGATGTCCCAAGCGATTTGGGCTTCGGCGGCAGCCGCCCCGGGTCCCGCCCCGACCCCCCTGTGGAGTCATTTGCTGCTCTCTTTTGAGTCCACTAGAAACCTATCAGCAAAAGCTGTTCGGTAATGAAAAATTGGTCCCGGGGAAGGGGCCCAGACCTCTCGGGGTCGACGTTGCGAAAAACTCGCGACGTCGGAAGTCTGGGTTTCTGGCGGTGTTGCAATTCCCTCGCAACGTCGAATCTCAAGGCCGTGGGTTTTCGGAGGTCTTCGTTGGCTCGTGGAGTGTCCTCGCCCCGGGATGCTTTCTCCAGCAGCTGCGCCTCGCCGAGTGCGTTCGGGGGGCGCCCGGATCGTTTCGGACCGCCGCCGGAGACCCGCGCTAAGTTTGTGGATGCCACGACAACGGACACCCTAACAGTCCGATCGTTGAATTTTTCATGTGTGTAAAAAGTTGGAAAATGCCATAAACGTGTTTCAAACATGTTTTAGATATGCTTAAGACATGTTTTAGACATTTGGAAATTATTTGGCAACACGCTTCATCTCCATTGATCGTCCTCCACAACGCGAAGTGATCCGAAAGCCAGACCTCCTCGTGCTGCGAAGATCACGACGGCAAGGTTTCGGCGATACTCGGCCTTTGCGGGCCTTCGTCGTGCCCCGAGATCGCCAATCAACGAGTTGGAGTGGGAAGGCGGTCCTGGGGAAAAGTGTCAGTGCTTCTGGGGAGCCACGTCTTAACAGAAGTTGCGACGTCGGAGGTCTGGGAACGCGGAGGCGAAGGCAGCCCGCTGCCCCGCCCCATCTTTGTTGTTTGTTTCTCTCTCTATCTCTCTTTCTTTTTTTTCTTTCTTTATTTCTTTCTTTCTTTCTCTCTCTCTCTCTCTCTCTCTCTCTCTATATATATACATCGTTCTCTCTCTCTCTCTCTCCCTCTCTCTCCCTCTCTTTGTTTTTTATATCTCCATCTCGTTCTCTCTCGTTCTCTCTCTCTCTCTCTTTCTCTCTTTTTCTGTCTTTTCCTTGAAGTCTTGACCGTGCATGGGCATTGAGGCGAGATGTAGCGACGCGTGCCCGCCCCGCCTCTTGTTTTGCCTCTCTCTCTATCAAGTTTGTTCGCTCTCTCTCTCTCTTTCCCTATCTTTCGCTCTCTCTCTCTCTCTCCCTCTCGTTTTATCCCTTTCTCCCTCTCGTTTTATCCCTCTCGTTTTATCCCTTTCTTTCTTCCCTCATAGGCATCCGGCTGTCACGCGTTGAGTTTGATATCGCATGGGCATCGAGGTGGGACACAGAGGCTCTGACGAGCGACGGCCCCGTTTCGATATATGTTCCTCCCCACTGTTGTCCTGCGTTGGTCTCGGCAGTGGTTTGGCATCGTTTGGTTCCCCACCAGGGTGGTCAAAAGCGAAATAGGTTCGTCTTCGTCTGCCTCTCATTCTCTTCACGCATCCCAGCGGAGTGCGGCGCAGGCCCTTGCTGGTATGGGCGTCCTCTTCGTTAGCCGCCAGGAAGTCGCAAACCCCCCACGGGGTTCGGGCCCCCTCGAGCGCGGCAAGGCGTTTTCGACCGCGGCCGCGCAGGTGGCGGGCGAGTCCTCTCAAACGCGTGCAGAACTCAGTGCAACACCCTGGGAAAATGGACACCATCGGCAAAGCGCTGGAGGGTGTCCAGGGAGGGGTGGCGCTTGACAGGGCATCTGTGCGTTCCAAGCAGCCGCGCTCTTAACGCATCCTTGACACAAGGCCACAGTCGCAACGTGGACCACTGTGCAGAAGGGGGTCGGGGGACCCCCGCCTCCACACCAGCGCGGCACAGTTCCCTCCTCCACTCCTGCAGGTGGCACTGCCCACGATTCCGAAGCCTTTTGGCTCGTCTACGTTGCCGTGGCAACACTCTTGAGCGCCACGGAGTGCCCCCTGGCAATAGCAACCTACTCAGGAAAAACTTGTTGGAGGATATCCGTCTCCCCTGCTGGGGACAAGGGCTTGATACCAGCCATGCCAGCCCAGAGGAACTCCGGCCGCGGCTTTTTTGTTGCTAACCTGGACGTCCAACAGCCAGAAAAGCGTAAGGGTGGCGCGATGGCTAATCAGGGGCGAACGTAGCGCAGGCGACGACATCACTGCACCCTCCTACCTCCTCCTCCTCCTCCTCCTCCTCCTCCTCCTCCTCCTCCTCCTCCTCCCTCATCCGTTCTCCTCCTCCGTTCTCCTCCTCCTCCTCCTCCTCCTCCTCCTCCTCCTCCTCCTCCTCCTCCTCCTCCTCCCTCCTCCGTTCTCCTCCTCCTCCCTCCTCCGTTCTCCTCCTCCTCTCTCGCCTCCCTCCCTCCCTCCCTCCTGCCATCCATCGCGTTTCGGCCTGGGGATAGCCCGACGGTTCCCCACCCTCCCCGCTCGGGAGGGGGCCCCGGGCATGTTGGGGCCGCCCTCCGCCACGCACGCGACTGCACACCAGGCCTGGCTTCCAGGAGGGAAGAGGGAGGAGGAGGAGGAGGAGGAGGAGAGGAGGAGGAGGAGAGGAGGAGGAGGAGGAGGAGGAGGAGGAGGAGGGAGGAGGAGGAGGAGGAGGAGGAGGAGGAGGAGGGAGGAGGAGGAGGAGGAGGAGGAGGAGGAGGAGGGGGAGGAGGCGGAGGAGGAGGAGGAGGAGGAGGAGGGGGAGGAGAGAGCAGGCAAGTAACCGGAAGGCGGAGACGGGAGCCGTCAGGCGCTCGCACGCCGGCCAGGGGCAAGGTGCGAGGAAGGAGAGGGGAAAGAGAGGGGAGGGAGAGGAGGGTGACGGAAACAGGACCCCGAAACAACTAAGCAGGGCAGATTCCTTCCCTATTTCCCCCCATCCCTCCCTCCCTCCCTCCCTCACTCCTCCTCCCTCCTTCGCAGGGAGGTGCTACGCCTACGGCGGCACGATCACGACGACGAGAACGACGACCACTACGACGGCGACGACCACCATGACGGCGACGACGGCGACGACGACGACCACGACGACCGCGACGACCACGACGACCGCGAGAACCTCGACGACCACGGCGGCCACGGCGGCCACGGCGACCACGACGGCCATCGCGACGACCATGACGACGGCGACCGCGGCGACCACGGCGACCGCGGCGACCACGGCGGCCATCGCGACGACCACGGCGACGGCGACCACGACGGCGACCGCCACGGCGACCACGGCGGCGGCAGCGGCCAGGAGCATCCTGAGCAGGGCGCCAGACGCCCCGCTGGAGCCGCCCGGCGACGGCGGGCTGCCGCCCTTGCAGGACGGCGGCGCGCTGGCTGGCGGCGGCTCATCGTCCGGCCGCCTTCGCCCGGGGGCCTCCTGACGGTGCGGTGGCTCGCCGTCGCCCGAGGGCCCCGGACGACGACGACGACGACGACGACGACGACGACGACGACGACGGAGAGCAGAGCGAAGGCCAGCGACCCCTGAGATCCTGGCGTCTCCATTTTTTCGAGCCGGGCATTTTCGCCTCTTGTTCGGGCCCCCGGGGCCCTCACACATCGACGAGGCTCGAGACATGGTGCAAAATGATGAGGTCTAGGGCTCCGGGCGTGATTGTTGTTGGTGATATTGCAGTCTGTTTCGCTGCGTCGGATCTCAGGGATGGTGTCGTGGTTCGCCGTCGCCCGGGGGGCCCCAAAAGTAGTGCTGGTGACCGTGTCTCGAAGTGGCGTCTCGAGGCACCTCGCAACGGCGGCGCAGATGTGACGCTTGGAGCGTGCCTTTGCTGCCACTCGTGTTGCGAGCTCCGACTGCATGTGAATTCACGCAGGCACCTTGGGCACCTCCCTTGGGATTTTGTCGCCCGGGTGTTCGGTCCGGGACCCCAGGGGCCACCAGACGGTGTGGTGGCTCGCCGTGTCGGTCGGGTGGCCACACCGCGAGGTGAGCCGGGTGTGGTTTCGGAGTCGTCGCGTGGTTTTGCGGGGTTCGGGTCGTGCTCCGAGAACGAGGAGGGGGAGGGGGGGAGGAGAAGGAGGAGGAGGAGGAAGAGGAGGAGAAGGAGGAGGAGGAGGAGGAGGAAAAGGAGGAGGAGAAGGAGGAGGTGGACGAGGACGAAGACGAGGACGAGGACGAGGAGGGAAGGAGGAAGGAGGAAGGAGGAGGGAGGACGGAGGACGGAGGACGGAGGAGGAGGAGGAGGAGGAGGAAGCGGGAGAGGGGGCAGGGAGTCGTCTCAGGCGACCTGGGCCTCCGAGGTCCCAAAACTGTGCGGTGGCGGACCGCGTGGTGAGGAAGTTGGGGAGTCCGAGGTCACCGCGTAGTCCGTCACCACACGGGTTTGGGGTGTCTTTGTTTCGCGCCAAAGGTGGTGGAACAATTTCATGTCAGATGCTCAGCGTTCGGTGCGGTCATAGTCCAACTTTTTCGACGCGCTGCCTTACAGGTTTATCTATGATGGAAATCATCATCCCTCCTCCTCCCCTTCCTCCTTCGTGCCCCTCTCCGTCCTCACCATTGCCCTCCGTCGCTGTCCTCATAGCAAGTCCGATCAGCAGCACACCGGTGGGGCGGGGCGGGCGTTTCGCGTGAGACTCCCTCACCAAGTATGATTTTGAAATTCGAATAGTTCAACCGGTACAAAAGGTGGAAGACATGTCGTTGTATCTAAAGGTTTTCGTCTAGTAATGCTTCCCAAAAGAAAACTTCAGCAATGCTTTCTAAACGGTTTCGTTTACGACACGCTCCAACATAATATTGTGTTGTAGTGGTTCCGGGCGGATCCCTGCTGCAAGGCAAAAGGAACTATGTGGGTTGATGTTTGACGCTTCGCGTATCCCCACCAGCCTTTTGCACGGTCTCGCGCCAATTATCTGTCGCTGTGCCCCAGCCTCGGTCATACCACCCTCTGGACTTCTCCTTGCGGGCCGCGAATCAAAAAACAGTATCCCCACCAGCCCATCCAGAAATGATGCCCATGAGACTTGACATGGGGAGAGAGGAAAACACACGCGGAATCAAGCAGCGACGGGGGTTTGGGAGGTTCCGTGGCCATCTCGACCCTTCTTGGAGCGGTCTTGGGGCCGCTTGGAGCATTTTGGGAGCCATTTTGAGCCAGCTTGGGTTATCTGGACCATCTTGGAGGTCATCCTGGGCTCTCTGAGGTTCGGGGGCCTCTTGGGGGCCTTTTCTGGTGCCTTTTGGAGGCTTCTTCGAGGCCTCATGGCGCTTCTTGGGGTGTCTAACAGAATGTGTTTGTAGCGTTTTCCACAGGATCCCTGTTGTGAGGCCATCCACTGGGTCCTTGTGTAGCACCACTGCGGTCCTTGTGTAGCAGTTCGCACAGAATTGCGGGTGCGAGGCTTTCCGATCGAATCCCTTTGTGGCGCTTTCTAAAGGATTCTTGATGTGAAGCTCTCAATCGAATCTCTTTGTGGCGCTTTCAAAAGGGTTCATAGTGTGATGCTTTTCTATATAAGACGTCAGCAGTGCTGTTCACCGGGTTCCGATTATAGGCTTTCCAGTAGAATCCATTGGTGACGATTCCCAGCGGATTCCTGTTGCGAATACGCAGAATCAGGATTCGTTTGCGATGCCTAAGACAGGATGTACACCCAATGTGTGTGAGAGAGAAAGAGAGAGAGGCACGGGGAGAAAGCGAGAGAGGAAATATTATGAGAATGATGAAGACCAGGCTGACAGTTCGTAAAAACTCCTCTGGGACACCGAGGGACTCCACAATCCCCCGTCCTCCTCCTCCTCCTCCTCCGCCACCTTCTCCTCTCTCTCTCTTTCTCCTCCTCCTCATTCCTCCTCCTCCCCCCCTCCTCCTCCTCCTCCTCTTCCTCCTCCTCCTCCTCCTCTTCCTCCTCCTCCTCCTCCTCCTCTTCCTCCTCCTCCTCCTCTTCCTCCTCCTCCTCCTCCTCCTCCTCCTCCTCCTCCTCCTCTTCCTCCTCCTCCTCCTCCTCAAGTATTAGGGGGTCAGGTTTTTTTTGTTGGCCTCCTTCCCCTGTGCCTCAGCGGGGCACTTGAGAGACTTGATTCGAGCGCTACTCACTGTACATCGTTTGCGCTCAATCTCGGCCAAAGCAGGGGAGAATGCAATGGCGCGGGGTTCGTCGGTCCCGAGGGGCCGAGCTCGAGGACCGTGGAGCAGGTGCCCTGACTACGGAGTCTGCGAGTACAACGCCGAGCTGGCCAAGGCAGGGTGCACCTGTCGAGGCTGTGGCTCAAGGGCTCCTCTGTACAAGGCGTGCTCGTCGTCGGCGGGGCGGAAGGTCTCCTTCGACTTGACGGGCGACGATGAGGATGAGCTGGTGGTTCCCCGAGGGGCCAGGGGGGCGGACGGCAAGGGCCGCAACGACGCCAAGGGCGGTCGGCGCGGTGCGGGCCAGGACGTGGCCGCCGTCCTGGAGCAGGCTTTCCAGGCGATAGAGGAACAAGAGCCCATCGGCTACTTGCGCAAGCAGGTTGACAAGTTCGCATCGGAGGTGACGAAGACCAAGGACGAGCCGTCCCTAGTCGAGGCGCGTTGTCGTGCCGAAGGTGCTTGCAAGGATGCAGAGCATCGTCGCTCGCAACAAGTTGCACATGTTGTTCGGCTGAGGAGACAGCTGGAGGTTGCTGAGGAGAAGGACGCGAAGGCGGCGCGGGCGGTGGCCGAGGCCAAGATGACCCGCAAGGCCGCCGCGCAGGCTGTGGCCCACGCCGAAGGCGCACAGGCCGCACCCGCCGCCCAGCCCGAGGCCCCAGCAGCAACGCCAATGTTTCACGTCAGCTGGGACCAAGAGTTCTTTGACAAGGTTGATAGCATGGAGTGCGAAGAACACGAGACAGAGGCGCTGAGGGGCATCGAGCTGAATCTTGAGGCCATGCAGGGTGTCATGGCTTCGAAGGAGGCCGAGGCCAAAGCGTGGCTGGAGCAGACGGAGTCCGTCAAGCGCGACATTGGGCAGAGGCTCGCCAAGAAGGGGCGAGGGGCCGACGGCCAGGCCGCGGCCGGCGGCGGTGGCGCCGAGGCCGCGCAGCCGCCGCAGGCGGCGGCAGGGGGTTCCCCAGGCGATGTCGCCAGCGGCGAGGCTGCGGCGGCAGGCAGCGGCGCCGGCGTGCCCGACGCCGCGGCCCAGGCGGCCAAGGAGCAGAAGATTGCGGAGGAAGCGAAGAAGCTGTCGGAGGCCAAGTTCCCGGCGGAGGCACAGAAACAGAAGGGCAAAGCATTGGCAAGGACGGCAAAGGCTACGGTTTCCAGGCCGGCGGCGCTAGCTCTTGACTATCTGGATTTGCGCCGACGGCGGGCGAGCCGCCCGACGAGGCGGAGTGGGGGCAGCATAGCCGATGACTCTATGCCAATGTCACATGCATGGGGGAGAAGTGTTGGAACTGCATCGTTGAGTCCCACATCCACGATGACGGGCCCGGCTCTGGGAAAAGGCCTCCGCTCGTGCACCAATCCTGCGGGGCCGTCTTCGAAAGCGAGAGCTGCAGTCGGCACCGCGAGGGCGGCGCTGATGGAGCACTCGAACGAGGACGGTGAGCGGTTCATGTCAAAGGGGCACATGCAGTCGCATCGCCTTCCAGCTGCCAGGCTAGCTGGGGGCAGGCCGCGCGCGCCTTACCACCCCAATTGTTTCGACTGCTTTCTTGCAACAGTTGTGCACTTCTCGGGCTTCAGCGCGGTAAGGATAAGCTTACGCGCGCACAGCCGCATAGGGCGCACTGGAGCCAACGTCGGCAGGTTTCAGAGATTAGCAGGGCCCCTGCGGTCTCTTCAACCCCCCTGGATAGTAGCGGGAGATTTCAACATGGAGCAGTGTCAGCTTGATGAGTCAGGCATCGTTCGTCGGCTGCAAGCTGCGGTGGCGCGGGCAAAAGGGGTTGTCACATGTAATATTGGCTCGGGCACGGTCATGGATTATCTTCTTTGCAGCCAGTCCGCTGTGCCATTTATCGGCGACGTCCGCCCGGTCATCTCGGTGCCCTGGCATCCGCGCAGAGGGCTCGAGATTGCCGCGCGTCGACCTGGGGAACAAGTCCTGACGAGGGTTCTAGAGGCCCCAGGTCGGCCCCCACAGGTCCCGCGACCGCGTAAGGAAGCCACCGCGGGGTCTATGTCTAGCCATGCGAAAGCTACGCGTAGGGCGCGGCGCCAACTCGCTGTCGAGAAGCGGGCTACTAAGTTTTCTGCGTCGTTTGAGGATTGTTGTCAGTCTGAGCAATATGTTGCGAATCCGGAGGACGATGGAGCCGGGGAAAAAAGATCCTTCGGCCCTTGGGATAGGGGGGCTAGATACTGAGCCTTTCAAGTCTGATGAGTGGCAC